TACGAACCCTTTGTACGAACAAAAGTAAGAGAAATTTAGGATAAGAATACGAACATGTTCTTGCATGAGGCCCATTATTGGGGACTGTTTTGCCCAGTGAGATACTAGCTTTAGGCGTTTTTCATTATGTAACCTTTGGATGACTTGCTGCAAAATAAAAGTAACACAGAAGACTTGCCTRTTGTTTGAGTCTTTTAGCAACTTCTTCACATCCAGTTCTTCTTTCTTCAGCTTGCCAAAACACGAGTGGAGCTTCGACTTGCCCAGTCCCTCTGCTGAGACACTGACAGGACCGGCCTCTGTGTCCAGTTTCCCAGTGTATTCGTCTCCGTATGTTCCCTGGTAGGTCAAGAAGTCAGCCTCAAACACTCCTAAGTAAAAAATAAACAGTCATTCCAGGTCCGAAATGGTGGAAATGTATATAAAAATTGGGTTAATTTGTTCTGTTTCGTTGCAACAGAGGGTCTACAAACCAGGTTTGAGAGYCTCGTCGCCCTGCAACAGGTCGCGGAGGGTGAAGTCAGTCGGATGGTACTTGGGTCTCTGCCAGGCCCAGAAGCGCCTGCGCTTGACAACGACGGCCATGGGGAGAAGCCTGCGCGAGTCATTTACCCGGGACACGTGGATGAGGCTTCCATCGGGGTCAATCTGACGGACAAAGTTGGCAGTCGCTTTGGAAAACATGACCGCTGAAAGAAACATTTGTTTTAAGTTTCTCTGGTTTTTAACAGCTAAAAATAAAGGGCTACTTCAATTTGTTTTCTCCTTTTGACACGCTTCTTGGAAGGCCGCTAGATTCCAAAAATGTGCGTGTGTTTGGATTATCACCCCACAGTTTACACTAGCCTACAAATACTGCAGTGACACCATTTAGAGGAAGTCCCCTGCAGGTTATTAGTGTAACACACAAACTCACACTCATCCCCTGCTCGCTCTTTCTGCAGGSTCACATTTCTCAAATTAAATATTTAAAGTAAAATAAAAGTTGGGAGGGGAGGGGAAARGGGTTAAGAGAAGACCAGAAAGTTGTGCAGGAGGACGAAGGAAGGCTTGAGGACAAACAGCAGATCAGATCTTTCCCAGGAAGAGAAAGAAAAGGAGCCAGAGAGGATRGAAAAAACTAAAAGAGAAGTGAAACCTCTTTCGTGAGTAACACAACAAAGTCTTATTGAGTCATCTGGGATCAATTATTTAGCAGTTGTGATGTCATTGTGCACATTTACCGAACTCTCAATCCAAAGGCTCAAATATACGWTTTATAAATCTTTAATGTTTTAATTACTTTCTAACCCTTTTAAATACTCATTACAGTTCTAAAACTAATTGTTTTTGTTATAAAGATATATAATTAACAGTAAAAACCACACCAAAATCTAGCTTAGTGTCTGTAAAATTGACTGAATTATAACAGTTTTTGTTGTCTAAGGTCTGTTAGCTGTGGCGACCATCTTCAATCAGTACAGCTACAAAAGTTAATCAGTTTTTCATGTTCACTTAATGATTAATTCCTGAAAGTTTAACTCAAATCTGCCCAGTGGTTTGTGAGATATTTTGCTAACTGAGACACACAAAACTTTGCTCACCTTTACTTCAGTAGTGGGTGATGAAAGCTGTTTCATGTTTTTATTATTTTTTTATTATTTTTTTTGTAAGCGACTACATTTAGCCTATTCTATTACAGTGACTTTTTTACAGTTGCATTGACAAAACATTTTTACAGTGAACATAAGTGCTCCAGTAGTATTTGTACAAACGTTTGAGAACAAAGTGATCAAGTCTGCCATACTTAAGCTACTGTAAACAAAGTGATGGCAGAAATATAGAAAAATTAACAAGTTTGGTTATAGGAATAAAGACTTTTTGCATAAAATGTATTTTTTTCGCGAGTATTTATTTATTTTTATTTATTTTCGTGAGGTTCTGTCACTTTAAGATGCTAAGAAATATTTTTAGCTCTGATTAAATAAATGCCATGCTCGCCCCTATTCTGCCTGTTTACAGTATGTTGGCTTATTATACACAGATTCACGTGTTTCCCCGGACCCATGACTCAGATTATAATTGTACCACAGAAGAAGAATTCCTATTTAAAATAACTTGTTTAAAAACACACAAATAACTAATTTAGTCGGAAAAAGTTGCTTACCTTAGAATTTAAGTTTGGTCGTTCGGGTGTTGCGCGCGCAGATGACTTTCTGTGGACAGAAATGTGTCCAAATATTGGGACACAACGGGTTTTGTCCAGTCGGACTCGTGAGCGAAGAATTTATAAAGACCTTTCCACTGACAGCCCGCCCCTCCCACCCACCGCATCAAAGGTGAAGCCC